ATAAACCCACAGACGGCATTTATAAAATGGAAAGCATCCAACATACCATGTGCTAGTCTTACAAAGTTAATTTATTCCAAAAACAAGTGTAAGTTAAAAAAAAAAAAAGACAAAAGAAATCCCAGTCTACTAATCAGTTAAGCCTACTGCTCAGCTACCCTTTCACACCAATAAACCTTTACCAGTTTGTTTTTTCTGAACCTTATTATGAAGTTGTGGCCAAGCCAATCTTAATAAACCTAAAACATGCTCTGTTGATACTGAACGGGATGGATTAACAGGTGTTAATCCAAAAATCCAATCACTGTCTTCTGATTCTTCCTCTATTTTTCACCATTGTGATGCATGAAACTGACACAACTTCCTTCACATATAGGTTTGCATTTGAAATGCGCCTCTTCAATTTTAAATGACAGGAAAGAGTAAAGAACCTAACTTTATGATCCATCAGGCATTTTCCAGCCTCATACTCCTCTTCTAGGCTCAACCTATTATGTTAGATAATTGAGATCACTCATGTGGGCCAGTGTCTGAAAATATCCATAGCTTCTTGATTTTTAACCTTCTTGTGTAGTTCCAGTTTTGTTATATCAGATCAAGCTAGAACTCCAATAAGACAAGAGTAGCATCACCACACCTCTAATCTGTAGCTCCTCCAAAGCTTCCTTTATATTATTTTGGTAAATTTAGAGCCCATCTGTAGAGTTCCTTGTATAAACAGCACACTATTTTTTCATCAAAAGTACTCCTTGTGTTTAGTGCAAACTTCAACATACTGCTGGTAGTTGCATGTAAATGTAGAGAATATCTTCCTCTCAGTGCTACTGCGTCTTCAGGAAGCTGGAACATCAATCCTTTTTCAAAGGAGGAACCCTTAAGGATGATTGCAAACGTCGGGGTTTTTTTTGGTTTTTGGTTTTTTAAACTTCACAGTGTATTTTAGGGCTGCTAGTGTTTACTACTACTACAAAAAGCTTCAGCATGCTGAAAACCTATACAACAGAAATTTAGGGGGACTGCACCTAGCAGGATTTTCATTTTATGTTGGTTGTCTGATCAAATAGCAAAGATGACCAAATTCCATAGGAATGGGCATGATATACAAAAACCTAAAAGGAATACTTTCTCTGAACTCTTGGAAAGCACGTTCAGCAACCTGCACACAATATTCTGAAATCTTTTTTTCAGATTTAGAACGGAAGGCACTAAATTAAGACCACGCTTTTCCCTGCATAAATGTTTGCAGCCATTATTGGGTCATTTTGCATCACTGTTAACAGTGACTATTAGTTCCTCCTTTAATGTTTCCTGTATTTCTTTATTTGCAGTACCTAGAAGTAGAGCTTGAATCTTTCAGGACAAATACATCCAGGGCAAAGTACTTCCGCAATTTCTTTAAATTGCTTATTTTGTGCTACAATGAAGACAATGATGTAAACAAAGTTGAATGCTGATCAAGTTCAAGCCTGTGCTGTTTAGTTTTTACAATACCATTACCAGTTATCTGATTCTTTGGGGTTGACAAATGCAGACTTGAATCAAGTGACTGTTAAGAGCTGTAAGAGACCTGGAATAGCAAATCATTATCATGGCTACACTTCTTTTACAAATGTAATGAAAATGTCTCACTTGCAGGATTAATCCTGATGCTCTGCTCTTCCATTTCAATAGAGTTTCATTCAATGGTACATTTGATTTTGAAGCTGAACAAGCTTTCAGCACTTTTAGAGATGGGCATGTATCTGTACTACCTTGCTATTTTTCACCTCTTGACAACATTATAAACAATTCTGAAGTGTGTAAATGTTAGTCCATTCAACTGCTAGTTTCCTACCACTTTCTTCAATTTTAGGCATGCTAAGAAAGACAGATGCTCACCAAACATCAGCATATGAATTTAACACCCATTCATCAGTAGCTTTCACGTTTACAACTGTCAGAATAAGGGCCTGTCTACATTTGAAATGCTACAGTGGCGCAGCTGTAGTACTTCAGGGTAGATATTACCTATACCGGCAAGAGGAATTCTCCCGTCGACATAACTAACTCAGCACCCCAAGAAGTGGTAGCTGTGTTGATAGCAGGATTCTTCTGTCAACCTAGCACTGTCTTCACAGGGACTTAGGTTGGCTTAACTATGCAGCTCGGGGCCCTGAGCAACGTAGTTATACTGAACTAATTTTCTAGTGCAGACGAGGCCTAGGAAACTACCTGAAGAAAATTCAGCCCTTAGAAGAATGAAATATAGGGTGAGAGTTATATAGCTTTACACAGAACCACTTTATTAAATGATCTGCATGCCTTCCAGAAGTTTCTAAAATTCAGCAAATCAAGACCCCTGAATAGTTCACAACTCTTCCAATTTTCCTTCAATTTCAGGGTTCAAGACTGTTCTATAACTTTTGTTTCCTAATAGGAATAACAGGAGCTCTGATACTTTCGTTTACCTTATAAGTTTTAAGAATAGGTAATGTTTTTCTTTCAGACTAATTTTTTTAGCCTCAAAAAGCCTTCCAAATATAGTTTATTTCAGTTACACGCTCAAAATATGTAAATCTACTCAGTTTTCTCTCCAAAAAACTGTTTCCCTCCACAACCCTCACATATTAACTAGTTCTGCCAGGAAGATGTACTCGTGTACGCAGTCCAGAAGTACATTCATTGCTGGAAATCAAACAAGTAAAACTTCTCTATAACTAAATCCAAAACATATAATGCAATTTAAAACAATCTAGTCAGATCTGAACATCCAGGGAAAACCATGAAAGTGATTATGCTCAAAGTTCTACCAAATAAAATAAAATTGAAAAAAAATATTAAATTTCTCTAGTTTTCAGTTATAGTAATCTTAGATGTTACTTGTAATAACAGAGCAAATGAGTTTTTAAGAAAGCTCTGTAAACTGAGGCTGGTGTGCTGATGAATGCATCATATCAAACAGGGAGGCTGGCCGGCCAACCAAAACATTTAAGGCTGTGACTAGATTACCCAAAATAGAAGTTTTAAAATGATATTCTGGAATGCCCAGTTTAATTTTGCTATTAGAGAAAATGAGTAAACATTAGCAAAGACATAGTAATTTCTTGTTTTAACTTTTTCAGGTCACCTATGTATCAATAAAATTAGATAAATAAGATCAAAACTCCTCTAAATATTTAAAGCTTTGAAAATGACACCATTCTCATCAACCACTGATGTGTAAGACACCCACCCAAAGTCAGGAGAATTAACATAATGTGTTTAATGTTTTCACTGTGAGAATTTGAGTGTGTCTTGTTATTTTTTGTTTGAGATGAAAACGTGGCTTGCAAACAGATGTTCAGAAACTGGAGGCTCCAAGACAGAAACTACTTCTTATAAAAAAAAATAGCTTTTGATGCGCAGCTGTCATTTCTAAGCAGCATTTTAATTATACTTTATTGGTCCTTGATCAGGTAGAAGAAAATTAAAGATTTAAAACATTAATTAATTCAAGACTACCTTCTTTTACTATTTAACAAACTGAAAAGCTTTAAATTCTCCTGTAACCCAAAGAACTTCATATGAAAAGAGTTAATGTAAAACTTTCTGGAAAACTAAAGTCCATTTCTTATAATGCTGTTACAAGGAAAAAGGATTAAAAATCCAATTGCTAAATAAAAAAATGTGATTGCATTGCTATGACTCAGAAAAGTAATATACAAAGAATTATGTTACAAATGCATTCTTTTAATAGCACCTGTATCTTAAGTCACTGAGACAAAGTTTCATCTCTAATTGCATCTGTTTACTTGATATCCTACATATTGTTTTACATCTTGACGAGATTCAAAAGCACAAGCTCTCTCCATTTTTAAATTCAGAGTGAAATCGGGCAATGTTATCAGTGCATATGATGTAACCAATTTAAAAATGCACTGTCATTCTACATTTATATTACAGGAGCAAATATGATACTGATTAGCTGTATCTGTTATCCACAGAAAAGGAATTCTTCCTAAATTAATTATCCCTTTGTTGCTTAATGCTCGTTTACAGTAATATTAGATAACTAAGTAACTAAGTGCATGAAGCTGGTAAACTTCACAACTGTGGAAATCTTACATGTTTCCTTACACTCTTCTCATCCCTTTACATTATTTCCTTTCATGGCTGTACAACATGATGCATTATTTTACTAATTTACACATTTTAGTCAAACATTGATAACTATGGTAATACAAATATTAAAATAGAAATAGAAGATAAAAAACCACAAAACTACTAACATCAATAAATACTGTAAATCACAAGACCAAAGATAAAAATAATGTAATTGTATTTGAAAGCATCAATTCAAGTCCTCCTGATCCGCAGTGATTGAAAAATGTTACCATATGATGGCTGTTTCATGGCTATAAGAGAAACTAGTTGGAGGTCTGCAGTTCATAGTGGACAGCTGTCCACATCATAAAGCCCAAACACAATTAACACAGAACACACTCTCTTCATGGTATATTTTCTCCAATTTTAATTTTTTGTTGTAATTGTTTAAGATGGAAACCAACACATTAATATTGGGATTTAAAAATTTATAAATAAGGGTTAATTTAATAGTCATTGATTAGCTTAGGCCAAAGAAGGTTTGGGATGAGTCACCTGGAGTTAAATTAGTTGACACCACCATCTTTAATTATCCCAGCTGGATTACTCCAAGATATTAAATCTGCAGTCTACATTCAAGAATGAAAACTAACAAAAGCCATCTCTAAAGCCTCCTCCACAGAGCTGATGGTTAAAATGCTGGCAGTAGGTCTATACTAGCTCTCCCACCATTGCTACTACCCCAGTACACCAATGATGGGAAATTTTTAAGAAAAATGTTAATTGGATGCAGCCAAAGAGCAACAGTTTGGAGGGCCTCCTGGATAAACAATACTCCCAGTACTTGGAGAGCCAGATATTTAAGTTAATAGGTGAAAGATTTTTCACCAACCTATTAGATTGGTTGACAAAGCCTCATTTTTTCTCAGAGAGGAATAAGATAGTCCTACATAAGGGATAGCAGAATCCATTGGTCCAGGTGCTTAGAAAAGCAGGCCCGTGTGAGCTCATTACGCCTGTGCTCAATTCGCTTCAATGGGTTCCCATCAGCTCCTGAGTGCAAATCAAGGTACTGGATTTAATCTGTAAAGTGATACACACCTTGAAAGCTGGCTAAACCCACCTTGCTCTACTACACATTCATGACATCCAAGATTACCAGAGGTGTACCAGAGCCCTTTTTCAGAAATATATCAAAATAAGTCCACACCTAAAACCAGCAAACATAGCAGTTTTTACTTGTACTGGTATAAGTTGTATCAGTTTTATTATATAACCAAGATTTAATTTTATTATTTTTAAAATTGTTTTTATTGTACCAAATATGGTTACAATCTGGCAGACTGTACTAATGCTAACAGCAAATAAAACAGCATTCATTGATTCACACTGCCACTTAGGGGACCAAACCAATTCTCTCCAATATTTTATGAGCCTTTAATACTATTGACCATGAAAGTGATGTTGACTCTCACATTCTCTCAGAGATCCCAGATGGTTTCTGACAACTGATCATCTACCAAGAGGGCTTTCATGTGGACTTCCTTGGGTATGTCTACATTGTATGGGTTGGGTGGGTCAGCTGACCCGGGCTCATGGGGCTTGGAGTGCACAGCTATAAAATTACAGTGAACATGTCCAGACTCGGACTGGAGTCCGGGCTCTGAGACCCTGCAAGCAAGCAGGGAGGGTACCAGCCCAAACATCTACACTGCAATTTTATAGTCCTGCAGCCCAAGACCTGAGAGCCTGAGACAGCTAAACCAAGCCAGCTGTGGGTCTTTTACTGCAGTGTAGACATAGGTCTAAGGGCTATACGTTTTTTTCACCAATTCTTTTTTAACCTGTACAGAGCTGCAGAGGGACTTAGTGTGACTACTTGGTTTGTGATGCTTTTTACTGTGCAGAGGAGAGTTATCCAACCCAGTGAGTTGAGGGGGGGTATAGATTCTGCCTTCCCTGTGCCTAGCTGAAGAAATAATGTGTATGAGGATCAGCTGGCCTGCCACCACGCCAATTACCCCCCCCCCCCCCCCCCCATCTATATTCTTCCCTGCTATGGGCTCTTCTGGCTCAATTGAAGCTCTAGGGCAGCAAATCTCAGAAGAGGTGCAGAGTGGCATCTGTGCTACGGAGACTAACTCCCCCCTCCAAACTGACCATTGAGCTTTTCAGGAACTGTTGGAGTGATATGAAGGCGTTCTCCAAATCCACAATTAGCCTTCCAGCTCCACCTCAATGATGTGGAATATGTGCCAAGATTCATCAACAGCACACAGTGCTACCTATTACCCTTTTCTCCTTTTCCCTTACCATTGTTAAATATTTTTGTCCTACACCCACTTTCTGCCTCATTACAGGTTAATGTCTACGCTACAAGGAACTTACTGTGGTTGATAGAGAAAGAGATCAATAATGTTGTCTCTGCCTTTTGGGTGGTTGAAGAACACGAACAAAGACCAGTGGATGAGCCATGTTCTCTGCTGAAGAGACTGGAGTGGGGAGCTGACTGACTGAAAACAAGACAAAATAAAATTTTAAATTGGTGCAGATAAGATGCAATGAAAACATGACTATACTATGGAAGTTCTCCTTGGATCATGATAGTAATGTCTATAACCCTCCATCTCCCCTCTATCATTCTGAATTTGGATCATGGCCCTCTCTTATAGGGGGTGACGGTGGAGAACAAGTGGTTTCCCACAGTGTTAGCCTTTCTCCCCTCTACGCCCTTACATACTGCTTTTAACACTGCAATACTCTTAGAGGGTGATAATATTGCATTATCACCCCACCCCAGGAATAAAATAAAGATTGTAACACTTAAGTAACAGATGTGCTAGAGGAAGGGATTCAACTCCCCCACCTGCAAAAAATAATTAGTTTCAGCTCCCACCATCAGCACCACTTCATTGGCAGGTTAACTCAGCAACCTCCAGCAGACTGGCAAACCATGAAAGCTGCAAGGTAATGCCATGCACAGTAGATCAGTAATCCTACTATTAAGAAGTGCCATCACAGTACTAGCATGGATATTCTTCCTTATGAAATTTCCCCTAGCCACCAAAGTCTGGCACAACCTGCTGTAATCATATAGATTCAGAAACTTTAAAAAGGGGGGTTAGAAGATGAGGAAGAGGAACCTGCCTGGCATCAGATGTCACTCACCTAGACAATGCAAAACACATTTAAAAATGTATTAAAACCTTCAAGATTTCCATTTAGAGGGTCAATCGCTTAAAAAAATAGACAGCTCTGAAATAGTTTCTCTCTCAGAATCATACAAAGGACACCGTAAATCAACCTACTCTTCCCAGGTCATTTTTTGGCAATCAGTGCTACTGTCAGAAATTGAAGTAGTAGGTATCTGACAAACATTCCAGCAGCTAGATTTTCCCTCATACTAACAAGGGTAGTGACCAGAATCATGAGTGAATACTGCTCACTTCAAGAGTGAATGTTGTGGTGGAATAGTTGTAGAAACATAGCAAACTTTGTGTAGTGTCATTTCTCCATCTACACACACGCACACACACCATTTATGACCACTCCCCATTACTAAGGGCTTGTCTACACTGGCACTTTTCAGCACTACAACTTTCTCGCATGTGAAAAAACACCCTGAGCACAGCAAGTTTCAGCGGTGTAAAGCACCAGTGTAGACAGTGCACCAGCGCTGGTAGCTAGGCCCCTCATGGAGAGAACTCTCTCCCAGCGCTCTGCCGCGACTACACAAGCCACATTAAAGCACAACGTTGCCAGTGTAGACTAGCCCTAAGATACTACAGAGGAAACTACAATTTTTTCCATATTTCTCCCAACAAATAAATTAGACAAGTTTCCTGTACTCTGTCACAATTTTCATATATTTTAGTCATCACTGTTAAATAATTTCTTAAAGGAATGTGTTACCAAAGTGTTAACTGTGTGGTAGTGGAAGTCAAATTATACTATAAGAATAGTAGAGCTATTCTTCCAGGCTGAAACATCTAGATGCAACTCTGCCTTAAGGAAAAATCCAAGCCCCCTTGAAGTTGCCCAATCAATCCTATCGACAAGATGGACAGCATTTTCCTAATAGCAATTCAAATACAACAGCTATTCTGGTGATGATTCAAACATAACAGTGATGGATACCCACAAACTACAGGTAACATAGGTAAAATTAAGTATTGCAGATTGGGAAATCTGGCAAACTACACTATATTTTTGTCATCATTTGCAGAAATAGCACTTCCAAATAGCTCTTGAAATATTAGCGTTAGAACTACTGATTGACTGCCTTAAAGCCCAGTCTCTGAGGGAGATTACAACAGCTACTTACAGGCTAACGCCAGGATCCCCTTTCTTCAAAAGACAGAAGAAACTAACTAAGCAAAGTTATGACAAATACTGAAAACAAAAATAAAGAAATTTTCTCAAATCTTTATTAGTTAGTGAACACAGATTAGTTTATACTGTTTTCAGACAGATGTTATTTTTATGTAAAATGTGGCCTTGAAAATTGTAATGAATCTTCATGCCTTATGGGGACAGGGAATAGTAAATACCATTCAGTACTCAACCAGAAAACAACTTCCACATGCTGTGATGCCCCAGCATGCATTCTTCTGATGATACCCCACCCTTAATTTAATCCTTCTGGAGGCTGCAGACATGCCTGTATGATAGGGATTTATTTTAATTTTAGTTTAATGGAAGCATCTTTCAAATTCACAAACATTTTCAAATCGGATGAAAGGGAAGCATGAACAATTTCAAGGAGCAAGAGATTTTTAGCTATATGACAATTCAAATAAAATATTTTATTGCACTAATTTCAATAAATCAGTGTCTTTACAAACATTCTCCTGAAATTCATTTATTTCCTCTTCGTGGCTTAGATTTTGTACTGAAATTCCATGTATGTCTGAGTCTCTCCATTCTCTTTTCAAGGAATCTTCCAGGACCCTCGTTTATCCCTTTTGCTCTTTTCCCTTTTTTTACTCCCCCAAAAAAGCCACACTTGTGGTCTTCCCTCCAACAGATGAGGATTGGACGTGGCTTTTTTGCAAACACTTCTTGGCAAGAAGAGACTGCAAAAGAGCAATGTAAACCATAGCTTCTCCTCAGAGCAAAGTGTGAGATAGCTCCAAAAAAAGATAGTGTTTTTAAACTGGCAAGATTTTTTCATGTTTTTCTTAGTCTGGCCATCCTTTAGCTTAAATATATGAATGTACTCAAACTTTCACTCACATTATTATCTACAGTCTCTTTCAATCTTGTAAGATCTTCCATGGCTGCATCCCAGTTCTGCATTAAAATTTCAGATGCCAGTTTTCCCCAGAGTGAGCTCAAAGCATTTCTATCTGTTGATGGAACCTGTTCAAATTAGTAAACACAGTTACAATAAGCACAATAATTTAACACTTTTACTTGGTTAAATGTATTAGATACCTGCTGGTACTATTTTTAAAATATAAAATTCCATACACTCACTTGGCCTAAGTTTTTCTAAATAAAAAAATTGGTGAATAAAAAAACAGCGCGCACCCCCTAAGGGGGCACGGAGAAACATTCATGTGGGTGCAGATGGGGGCTGGGCCAGTCCCCATGGGGGGGTGGAGAGCGAGCACCACCGAGCTCCACTCCTGGCCCTGCACCCAGGGCCCCGGCCACAGCTCCACTCCCAGCCCGAGCCCCCCTTACCCTTGTCCACTTCCCACCCTCCTGGAGTCACGGCCCCATTCCCGGCCCTGACTTCAGGGGAGGGAGGGGCGCAAGGTAAAAAGTTTGGGGACCACTGAGCTAAAACCATTTCAGGACTAGCAAAACTATTAAACTATATTAAATCTGCTCCTTATAAAACAGAAAAGTTTGGATAAAAAAAAACACCACCACAAAAACAAAACAAAAAATCAAGATTCCAGGCACACAGTGATGGTACCCAAACTGACAGCAAAACAGAAAAAGAATTGAAATGGTTGACGACCACTTGGCACTTTAATAACTTTAGCTCCAAATGTTTGGTGCCATACAAAGCTGCTCGTGCAGTCTTAACAAGCAATGCTTTTAGAAGAGGTTCCCAAAACTCAATGGTCCCTAGAGAATTACATCCCACAAGTGAGAATATGCAAAGACCACCTCAAAGAGGTAGAAAATCCTTTCAGATAAAAGTATGTGGCAAAAGAAACATGTCCTACTAAATTAGGCAGTATGTCCTTGAACATATCCAACCCCCCTAAAAAGCTATTTTTCACAGAGCAGATCACCAAGTCTGTTTCAAGTAAGGGTAGTTCTGGGGTCAATCAGGTTTGGTTTATACAACACTGAACTACACTAGGTCATTCAGAGTGTCAAATTCTAATCTCAGATCATAGTTACAATGGTTCTTTCATAGCTTATGTTTCACTAACCATTACTTTAAATGAATCTTCTCCCACCAAAAAGAGTAACGTAAGTATCCGCTCAAGGTACTAACATACCAGAAGCATGCATTATTTTTACTAAAACTGCTTTTAAGAGTAATTTTTAAGAACCAATATAGCTTCTTTTTTAAAACATGCTCAAATTCTGAAACACAGAGAAGATTTAGGACAACTGCTCATGATGCCCATAGCATCTCTATCAAACAAAAACACAAAAAATAGTTCTTCACAAATACATAAAATGTACACCTCATTGAATAGGTTATTGTATACAAAGGTTTAATGAGTAATGGTTCACATAAGATTCCTCTTGTCAAAAGCTATCCCAATACTGAAATAAGTTCTCCCCACTCTTTCAGCCTTATTTTGGTAAACGAACATTGTATTATTGTTGTGAAAATCTATTAGTTATTTGCTTTGGAACCCACTTAATGTCTAATTGTAGCCAATTAACAGAATAAGCAGAACCACTGAATTTAATCCAAAAGATTAAATAAAATATAGAATATAGTAAAAAGAAATATAGATTAACGGCAAGAAACAAAATACAGAAAATATACACAATTACTAGGAATTACTTTGCAAATACCATTCATACATTCTAGAAAGGGACATAATGTTATTAGAATTACACATGTTCCAAGTGCCAATGTGAAAAGCTTTTTGCTGCACTTTGGCAGGAATTTTTTGCTGCTAAGGTTCATGTGCACTATTTGGCTCAACTCCATGTCATTACAGTTGGCTCTTCATAGAGAACTGCTTTCAGTGATGGATATGCTAGAATAGTTTCAATATCTGGATTTTCCAGCAGTTACCTTAAATTTCCATTTGCTAGAAAAACAGCACAGTCACTCACTGATCAGCAACAATAAATTTACTGTGCTGGGATTCTAACAAGACACTAAATCTTCATTCTCAAAATTCACTCCCAGCATTAACAAATGATATGAATAACCAACTCTTTTCATGTAGTTGTAATGAAACCATGGCTCTGGTTCTACAATCCTTGTTTAAGCTGTTAACATTTCTAAAGCACAACTTTTACTCTTCTAAATCCTCCATAATATTCAAGGGAAGACAGATGGAATTCTTGATAGGAAGCTGTAAGTTCAGCATTACCACTGATTACCTTCAATTTACCTGTAAACTTTTCACCACCACTTTTTGTGCACAGGAATTAGATTGCAAATGCTTATTCTTAGCGGTTACAGTTTATAATATTCTTCCAGTTTAGATTTATAGGAAGAAACAGGAAGTACCTAATTCAGTTAGTTACAACTTTTACAATTTTTAAAATTTAAATTAGAACAAAAATTAGCACTTGAAAATTTTGCTAAAATTGTTCATTTTTAACATTGCAATTCTAAAGATCATAGTGAGGTATGATAAGACTAAACACACATACAAACTAGGTTTCGGTCTATTCATGCATATGCCATACTGAGAAATGTTTCTGTTTCACTTTTCCATTCTTGAAATTAGGCAGGTGTTTTACATTTACTTCTAGCAGAGCAGAATTCTTGTAAACAGAATGCTCTATTTGATCTCAAGAACAGAACCGACGAAACTAACAAAATGGCAGGCGCATTCATGTCAACCCGAATAGACAAAATCCTGGATTTTGTTATTGGAGAGCATCCATGAAAAGACAATTGTAATGCAAATAAGCTTGACTCTGTCTTAAAGAAAAATTAAATTTTCACAAGTTTAGTGATTGAAAAGTTTTTTCCAACAGTTACTATGCAATATCATATTATTTGTGAACGACTGGCCATACTCTTGGTATTGTGCAAGATACAAATGAAAACATGTTCCCTGACAAAAGGATCCTGCAATCTAAATAGATTACTGTACACAGACCAGAGTTTTCCCCTATAATCACAAACAGAATATGAAACTGTTAGCAAATAACTAATTAGAATCATTAATTCTGAGCTTGTGTATCTTTTCAGTATTCCTCTTGTATTGAATAATTGTCTCAGGAAGTTTATAAATCAGGATATTTAAGAATTTTTACAGAAAACAAAGTGGCCTAAATACTTAAGAAAAAAACAACTACTTACCAAAACCCTAAAAAAGTAGAGATATTCTGCAGCTCCTGAATAGTTGCCACATTCATACTGGAACTTTGCATACCTGTAGAGTGTGTCTAGGTACTCCTGTCTAAACTGAGAAAGAATACAAAATGTTTGTCTTCTTTATGAAAAGAGATGGTATAGCAATGGGTTGTGAAATGACTCAATAGTCGGTAGAGTCACATTTAATTACAGATATGTAAGTAGCCTGTAAAGAACTTCAGGGTCTTTGGATGATAAGTGCAATGATAGCAGTGACCAGACAAACTAAAACACAGAAACTGAAACAATTACTTCATCCTTTATTAATTCTGCTGAATACAGTAACACTAATGTCAGAAGAAAGTACAATATTTAAGCATAACCACAAGTTTTAAAGATGCAGTTAATATCCAGATTTCCTTGCTTTTATAAGTTTGTAACATATTTAGTTCAATTTAAGCTTTTAAACATTTTCATGCAAGTGCACATCAGCTACATTTAAACTACACAGATAGGCCAGGTGCCATGTTCTTGGTATTCCAAGACTGTTGGATTGAATATAATTTAGCCTGTTACTTTTACATATTTTAAAATGTAAAAATAAAATAAAAAAAACTTACACCATGCTTGTCAGCTAGATAATCAAAGAGCATTCGACCATCTCTGTAACAAAAATAAAGATCTGTAAAACATCAGTTTTAAACTGACCATCACAAGTTAATGTGTAATACTAAATAAAGCTATTAAAAGGAACACACAAGTCTCTTTTTTTAAACTTTCCCTGAGTATCCCTATGACTTTTTAAAAAAAAATCTGTTCCTGCATGAAAGGCCCACACAAACCAAGGGGACTGAGAATACAGAATAAATTGTGAATCCGAATAGCCATGATGTGCTGTCAAATGAACTAAAGAATTTAGCATTCACTATAACAACTCTGGATATTCTTGTTCTTCATATAAATATCCAATCCCTCTAAATATTGATAAGTTCTTGGGATGAAGTCCCAGAACCACTGAACTCAGTTGCAAAACTACCACGGACTAGAGTGGAGCCATTCACCTTTGGACTCAAATTACATCCTATGTCAACTGAGTTCTATCCAATCATGCAGCTGGTGAAAAAATATTTCCCTTTGGTCAGTTTTGAATTTGCCACCTTTCCATTTCACCGAGTGTCCCCTTGTTATGCAACAGAGAGAACAGAAGCACCCAAGCTTCATTCTCTACCATTCATGATTTTATAAGCTTTTATCATGTCCCCTCTTATTAATCTGATTTCTTAGGTAAACCACCCTAATCTTTTCAACTGTTCTACAAAGGAGAGATTTTCCATGCCCCTCGTCTATCTCTCATATCACCTTTCTCGGAACCCCCTCGTTTCCACCAATTTACCAAGAAGAGATGTAAGGCTTACTGGTCATCCCCAGATCACCCCGAGAACTATGTTTTTTTATATATAGGTACAACATTTGGTACCCTCCAATACGGTAGCTGTTCTTAATGGGATTGTATATTTTTGCTAGCTGGTCACATCTGTCATACTTCAGAGTTTTCAGAACTCTAATATATACCTTCTGGGTCTGGTAACTTGTTAAATTATCAATTTGTTCCAGCACTTCTACTTCTGACACCTCAATCTTTGATAGCACTTCATTTTTATTACCAGAAAAGAGCAGGTTCAATGTAGTCACCTTCCTGCAATACCCTCTGCAGTAAAGAGTGATGCAGAGAAACAACTTAGCTTCTCAGCAAGTTATTACAAGGTGAGAAAAATGGACTTGCATTTTTTAAGGAGCACTAATGTGCACTGCCCTAGTGCCACTGTTAGCTGAAAAAACAATCATGCCGTTAATAAGAAACAATCCACTGCATACTAAGAACTTGGGTGTGGGGGAGTTTTGCATGCAAATCAATAATCAATAACGATATTATACTGCATTTATGAAATTACAAAAGGATCTTAAAGCACTTTATAGACAAATTAATCTTCACTCAGGATGTCTACCAATTTACAAATTTGAGACCACCAGTACTTTTCAAAGATCTCCAGGAAACTATAAACAAGCCAAGGACTTTTTACTATCTTTGGTGTTGTACCAGAAATTAGCAATGACTTGTTCAGAGCAAATACAGTTTGGCGAGAAATAGATTAAAAAAATTAACTCAAACTATATACAAAGACTTACTCAAAAGGTCAAATATATATTAACATCTTAAAAGCTGAAAAAAATAAAGATACGGAATTGATCAAAACTGTACAGTTATTGATACTTCATTTACAAGAGCAATGGGGATAAGGATAATTGACTTAGCCGTGAATTTTCATTCTAGGGTCCTCCACGTCAGACAGTCTTGACAATGGATCCCTATTCCCACAGCAACTGGAAACAGGCAGATTTTTGTTCCAAGCCTGATTTTAGGACAGTCCGTCAGGATGAACTCTTCCGAACAATAATATTTTTCAGCTTTGGAAATGTACTATATAAAAATTTAATATTGAAATTCAACTGAAACGATTTGCAGCAACACACTGACATGAAATGTAGGGATTTCTCAGAGGAACACCCTCCGCTTTTCAAACGCGAGCAAACAGCTAAAAAAAATACTGGATATAATGCAGTCCTCTGCGGGAGAGTTGGACTGTGACACGGAAGATCCTAGAATGAAAATTCACAGACAAAACAGGATTTTCCTTCAGTTCCCTCCACATCAGACAGTCTTTACAGTGCACTGTATAAAGTCATAAATAATCCACTGGGAGGGAGAATTCAATTTACCAAGTAGAACTGAAAGGAGCATAAGGGCTATTGGGGCACCCTGTTCCATTACACCTTTCTCCCAAACACTGCCATGTTTCTAAAGATTGGTATCAATGGTGGTGGGCCCTATGTAACATAATGAGAAGATTGGCCAGACAAGGGTAGTATCCCTTTCACATGAAGGGAGGGATCACATGGCATTCGTTAATACCCATGCAGAATTTACAAGTCCAAAAGGGATGTACTCTACTGAAAATGTTTCTTATTGTAGCAGAAGCTGACACTCATGTGACTCAACCCAATTATATCCTTAATAGATCTCTAAGAGGTTTATTTTCATATTCTGAAGTTCGGGGAACAATGCTGTAATGATAGCATTAGAGTATTTCCCCTGGAATATCATCAATCTCCTTGTTGAGAGACCCGAGATATAAAATGGGCTGTATACCATTATTTCTCTTTGTACCACAAATAATAATGTGCCCTTTTCAAAATCTCTCTCTCCACATGAAATCGGTTCTAGTTCTCCAGTGTGTAGGAGATGGACTACTGAATCTTTCTCTTCTGATACAAAGGTTCTTCTTGCGCATAGTTTATTTTAATTTATTTTTAGGAAAAGGATAATCTTGTTCCTGGGACAATGTGTGAGTTCTGTTGAATATCCTTCCCTGATTGTGTCAAGCACCCATTTGCTTGGGTAGTTTACTCCCATGGGGAGGGGAGAGCAACCCCAACTTTGGAAATTCAAAAGAAACTTTAGGGGTTAGATGGTTTTCCAGAGAACCCAGCTTTGATATTCCAACTCTGAGAAAAATGAGCAATAGCTTCCTCCTAATGTGCAATCTTTATACTGGAACCTGGAAGAAAAATGGCTTCAAAGGGAACAAAGAGATAAGGTTGTTTTAAGACACTCTCACTGGAAGGAGGGAGGGACTTAATCCCATGTCTAAAACATCAGTGCTCAGTGACTGCTGTCTCTCTACACTCCCCAAAGAGCTCATCAACAAAATATTTGGAAGGATATCAGGTGATATTCTGCAATTCTGGTTTCTTACCATGGCACAACAGGTGTCCCCAGAACAAGCCTTTGGAAGTTTGAATGTCAGCACATCTTAGGTGATGCATCAGTCCTGGAAAGTTGCTAATGAAATCTCATTAAAGGTAGATTTTATGTAATTTATTTATTTAGGTATATGCTCAACAATGGCCTCCCAGTTGAACAAAGATCTCCACGATAAGAGAATACAGACAAGAGAATATTCTCAAGGCTCATGTGCATGTATTAAAGTTTAGCCCTGAGTGATAATCTTATTTCTCCAGTCTGTGGGTTTGGCAGGAATACTCTTGTCAGCTGGTATGATTATGCCCTTTACCAAGGATGCTGCAGCAGGCAGAGAGTAGTAATGAAGACCTTTTAGTCCAAGGAATTTTCACTTCACCTTACTCACACCCTCAAACCAGATGAGGAAAAATTAAAGTTCTCCTTCCATTTGCAAGCTTTAAAAAAAAAGGTCTTTCATTCTCTAAAAAAACATATGCACCTGTAAAGTTAGACACTCATTTGTGCTTAATTCTGGGAAGATTAGCCAAGTCTGAGGTACCATGCTCAAAACCCCAGTTTTAGAGATTTCTCCTTCGTTTAACTGATTGCAAGCAACATATTCAACAGTCCCTGGGCCAAACCCCTGAGACAAAAGGTAAGGCAATCTTGTGAGGGGGAGAGTGCTTTACCTGGGAGTCTGAAACAACAGTCTGCAGGCATGTGTCCTGCATGCCTCCCTAAGGAAAACAGCCACTTGATGGCCTCCTGTAGGACCCCTGGAGCCTGGAAGGGGAAAGGAGGTAAGTCCATCTTTCAGGGAAGGGGAGTGACGGCACAGACTGAGCAAGCTAGAGCCACTGGAGACAACTGAGTCATTTGTATCAGAGGTCACAGCAACTGGTACCTCTTATGGAGCTGAGCCCTCAAGTATAAACAGCTTGTGGGAGAGAGGGTGCACTCTGGGGAATTCTCAACTGCCTCAGCACAGATCTTGTCTACATGCTGGCTTGGAGCAAGAATTTCTTCCTTCTGTGAGCTTCAGTGATTAAGGAAAGCTCCAGTGAAACTTTCCTGATTGCTCTGCAAGCTATGGGAACAGGGAATCAATATGTAGGTGAGAAGCAGGGAGGGGTTTAAAAATATACCCTGGTTCAATGCCACTGATTCCTGCCTGGTCTCAGGGAAAGGAGCTTTCGGGTGGCCTGCTCAACCATCTAAGCATAGACCTCACCCACATGGTAGCTGAGGGCTGAGTTTGTGCGGCCTACTGTCTGTCTAGGAGAGGTGTTCTTCAAATCCTCCTCAGAAAGCCAGAAGAATATTTGTTGAAGTTTAGCAGTTTTTGAGGAGAAAAACATCAAAACTGATGAAGAAACAGACATTTTGTTAAAAAAAACCTGTGGAAGCTCTGCTACAAAGATCTGGAAACTGCCATGTGCGCTACTTGGAGAAGAAAATTTTGGAGAGTTCCTCCTGAAATGTGGTCCTAACCCCAGGCTCAAAGCAAAGATCTGGTCTGCCTACAGATCTCACGGAGATGAGAAACACCCCACTGTGAAGACTGAGACATGGAAGGAACGGAGAATAATTAAAAAGTTTCAGTTGATAAAGTGTGTTAAAAACCTCAATACAGAGGAAAAAGATTCACGATTTCACTTATGAGTTTTCATTCAAAAATGGGGATCCGATTTTTTTTAAATAAAAATTAAGTCCTAAATCAGTCTCACTGTGTAGTCTCAGATACTGAACTAAGCAGTTTTACATATTAAAAATTCATTGCCTCGTCGAAGTCACTAAGTAAATATAGTTTGCCATCTACTATATGCAGATATTTATCTGGGAAGAATAAAGCTGTCATAGATTCAGTCTACAAGTTACTCCCTTATGGGAAAAAGCTTTGTTATGCATCTCCTATGCTAACCTGGGAAGCATGAGGCACTCAAGGTCCTGGAAGGCTATTCCAATCCCATATACCCATGCTAATATATCCACCGGACCCTTGCTAGCATGTTCGTCTATATATAGCACTAATTCACATATAACACGGTCGCGGCCATGGATCCCAAATTTAATTAATTTAATTGCAATTCATTTTAATGCAATCCCCGCGTTGATGCAGTACCGTGCACGGATCCCAAATCCCACATTCTAGCGAGGGTCCAGTGTACTTCAAAATTGAGACTTGGAGTAATTAAATAGCCCTGATCACTTCAGCATCCACAAGGTAACAAGGGCATCCCCTGAGTTCCCTCAAAGGTATCTCCCTTGTTTGGCCAAACTTTCAGATTTATGAAAGCTCAACACTCTCCCCATCTTGAATGCTCATAACATCATGATTCTTCTTTACATGAGAAGTTCCACCAGTTCAAAGTACAGCAGTGAATGTCAACAGTGCCATATACTATAAGAAAAACACATATCTAGTGGGTGGGCTGTATCCCTGTATGGAACAAGAAAACTCCCCTTAGTTGCACCTGACAATTTTGAAGCCTAAACTACAAGAGCAGACCCTTCACAACGATGTGTGAAACACAACAGTATATTTTTTACATCATATTAAGGAAATACCGATGTAAAAAATAATAAAATCTGATATATGCACCAATTCAGTACACTGTACTGAATTCCACAAGAGGAAGGATGACAATATTACATTTTAGCATACAGTTTGTAAGACCATTAGCCAAGTAGAACACATATGCATTTATCCATGCTGGGAGCTTCAACAACTTATGTCACAGTACACTGAGGTTTTCAGGTAGGTAAAACGAGCCTTCAGGCACTGGCAAGTATCCCTTGTGTGGCTTTCCAGGATACATAGGGTTTGATTCTCAACTACGCCTAAAGGCAGCAGGAAATTAGACATAGCAGACCTTTGATCCACCACATCCCCTTGCCTCCCCTCACACAGGAGGTGGTAGAGTTCTCACACAGATTCCTCCTAGACAAGGGAAGTTTTCCAGCATAAATATCTGGCTGCTTTCAATTCACTTTGTGCCAACCTTAAACGTCTAGGCAACAGACCTTGAAAAACATAATTCATTCTGAATCCCCAACTTATTGAGTGTTAACTGATCTCAGTAAGGCATTTTGTGTAACTGACTAAATCAAACTACAAGTCAGAAGAGTTCGCAAAGCTCAAAGAAGCAAGTATCTGCATGCTGTTCTAAAGATCTCATTTTACTACTAGTAGGAAAGTTTGCCCTATTGTATGTGGCGTGAACTGCTCTTTCTAGCTCAAAAACAAGGATATTAAGTGTCTTGAGATAAATTAAAAGGTTCTGTTCCTATTGTGCACCTTGCCACAAAATCTCAGGGAGGAGGCTGCCTGAACCTGTGGCTCTCAAGGCCACACTTGTATATACTCTTGTAAGCATCTTCTAACAGTATCTTGTTCTTGTACCAATACTTAATCATAGATACCTGTCTGAACAAGAGCATCCTTAAAATATTTGTATTGTCATAAGATATCTTTCCGTCCATGCAAGAATGCATGTGTGAACTGTAAAGATAGCAAAAAGTATCCATAGATTTTCATGATGGGAATACATCATAAAGGAACATTTAAGTGGTCAGGTGCCCTGGTGACCTTCCAACATCTGAGGTATGCAGGAAATTCCTCAAAACAGCTCTGAAGCAGTGAGGGTCTACAGGTAATGAATTACTAGAAACAGGATTCCCTTCAAGGCAGCACAGATGTGGTGTGCAGCAACTCACAGCTTATCAAGTGCAAGCGTATCAAGATGTGCAAGTAGGGAAAAAAGAGACAGTACCATTTACCATTATAACCTCTAGTCAGCAGATCTATCAAGAAAGGAGGGTATTCCTTATACAACTTTGGAGACACGAACTCCCTAAATATGTGGTAACAGTTCACAAGTTGGGAGAGTCCTAACAGATATACACCAGGGAGCTTATCCCTACGGCTTAGTGGGAAGTCACACATGAAGCAGATTCAAATTGAACAGCAGATGTCTTAGCTGACAAATGGAAAGAAAAAAGAATGCATAAGACGACAGTTAAACAAAACAGCTATAACTGCCTGAGGTACTAATCAGCACAAAGTTATTTCCTACTATTTGTTAAACTACAAACTGAAGCAAGAAGATGTATTTAGTTAATTTAAGTCCGAGGAAAACCTCAGGACATTTCTACTTTAACTGCTTTGAGTTGATTTTATAACTGGCGCAGCAGGCATAGAGAATTATACCATCAGCAACAAAACGAAAAAAATAATGACAAGAGCCCAGAAGACCCAGAATAAGAGCCCAGAAGACCCTTTGCTGGGTTTTTTTTGGGAAAGCAGGTGAACTGCTGCCCTCAAAACTTAAATTACATGGGGGTCCTAGTCAGCTGGGCAGCACCGACCCAAGAGTGGTGAGCAATACAGTAACTTGACCTTTCTCTATAGTAATTGTAAGTTCTCACCTGTGAATATGGAGATGTGTATGTCCTATGGTAATTTATAGTTATAAAAAACTCCAAATCAGTAAAATTTATGTATACATAAATACATTTTAATCATTTTAGTCTGCCATTTCCCAAAATACAGCCTGCCCCAGTATCATGTGAGAACAAAGGCAGACTCTAAAAGCAAAATTCTACTCCCTTTGGAGGGGGGGGGGGGGGCGGCTGCGGGGATGCACCGTGATGGGCATGGCCAAACCCCTGCATCCAGAGCTAGCCCCGAGCTGGCCCCAACGCAGAGATCCCTGGAGGCTCCCCATCCCAGCTTCACATCCTGTGGAAGGCACAAGACAACACCCACCTGGCCCCACTTACCAGGAGCCATGAGAGGCAAAGTTCTTCAAGTCATGCATCCGAAGAAGTGAGGTTTTTACTCACGAAAGCTTATGCCCAAATAAATCTGTTAGTCTTTAAGGTGCCACCAGACTCCTTGTTGTTTTTGCAGGAGACACTGAGGCTCAGCGGGCCTGACCTGTGCCACTTGGCAGAGGCAGAACCAGAACCACACCTGGACAAAATGTGAGCCCTCCAGGGAACACAACCCCAACCCCACCCTCCTCCTCTTTCACCTCTGACCCCATGTTCACCAAGTCACAACACCACTCACTGAAATTTGGCTCTGCCACCCCTCCATCATGACCAGGTTTCAGTGAGTGATATTGTGAAAAAGTTGTGGCGAGAGTTGTTAGTTGCAGTGAGTGTTGAAAGTTGACGTTTCTACAACAAAAATAATGGCCCACAATTTTCTTGCAGCCTTATTTATTATAAATATTTGCCACGATCCTGGAAGCAGATCCATCCAGGAATACATGTTCATGTTGAGCTTCACTGAGGTTAATAGGATTCCATGTGGGTGCAAGGTTACTCCCACATGGATTCAACTGCAGGAGGAAGACCTTAGTAATTAGCTGCATCAATATATTTTCTTTTCATTGTTCACTGTGGTGTATTTGCAGGAGATAATCTAAGATATTTAAGAAATAAGCTCATTTCATATGGGTTAAGGGGAATACCTGTGCTTTCTTTGAAACTGGTGATTATATTAATTACATTTTATGCCCAGAAATATTTCAACAACTCAAATTAATCAGAATACTGAAATGTTATCTTGCCATTCTGTCCATGCCATTTATCATGAGTACTACAAATATTAAGGAGTTGCAATGATATGCTGCATTAAAAAAATATTTCTCGGGGGTGAAATTCAGGTATTGGCATTTTCTGAAACTCCTTAATAAAAGGTATTGAACAACTTGGTTAAGGTGTTGCAAATAATATAACATTCTTCACTAAGGAGAAAATAGTCTGCAATTCACAGGGCTGGTCTTCACTACAGAGAGATCAACGCTGCTGTAATAGATGCTGCAGGGATCAATTTAGCGGGTCTAGTGAAGACCTGCTAAATCAACAGCAGAGCGCTCTCAGGTCGACCCCAGTACTCCAGCTCTCAGAGAAGAGTAAGGGAAGTTGACCGGAGAGCGTCTCCTGGCAACGCAGCGCAGCAAAGACACCGGGGTAAGTCGACCTAAGCTACGTAGCTGGAGTAGCATAACTTACCAGGAGTCATGAGAGGCAAAGTTCTTCAAGTCATGCAGGAGACACTGAGGCTCAGCAGGCCTGACCTGTGCCACTTGGCAGAGGCAGAACCACACCTGGACAAAGTGTGAGCTTTTTTTACTCCTGTAGTGAAGACAAGCCCTCAGACTCACTTCTTGAACTGGCAGGCCTCAGGTTGCTGATGCTTCTAACTGTTTAAGAAGTTATTTTCGTCACCTCTGAAGGTGATTACAACAGCCAATTATGTGCCTGGAAGGATGATACTTCAATAGTCTACTTTGAAGATGTTATGGGAAAAGAGCAGCAGAAAATTAACATATCACTTGGGCTTTTCAGGGATGACTTCAAAGGCCTTTCTACCTGTTTCATCATCTAAACACAAACAATATTTAAATTATGACAAAACATTTCTTACAAGATGATTTATTTTTATTTTATTTCTGTATTTAACCACTTTGGTGGTCAACATCCTGAAGTATAAGCTCTCCCTCACAGAGACATTATTAATGGAAAGCAGAATATCATCATATGGAGGTCCAAGACGTCACAGCATAAATATCAACATCCGGTACAGGCAAAGGGAGCAAAGATTTTCAGCTTCAAACTGACAACTGTTAATTTTTTTCTTTGCACTGGTCCAACAAGACATCTGGGAAGATTAATTCCTACAATGTCTAGAGTATTAAAGAAAATATTACCTAGTAGATTGCATTTGTCTTGTAGTTTCTGGGTCTTCAAACATCTTGACAATTGGCTCAGTTTCTAACTGAAGCTGTTTCAGCTGTGCAACAACAGCAGTCCTCTTTTCACGCAAAGCTAGATAAAGAAAGAGTACAATGTAAAGTTAACACCTTAGCAAGCAGCCTGTAGTTATCTGATGTAGAATCAGCTAGAGTGCTGAGTACCCTGGCATCCAAAAAACTCAGCTCATTTGTCCCCTCAGTCAAGCCACATTAACTGCCACGATGATTAATAAAGAATTAAAGGAGTGTGATATAATTAATGCCAAACAACATGGCTTTATGGAAAATAGATCCTGCCAAACTAACTTAGTATTTTTTTGATGAATTACAAGTTGAGTTGATAAAGGTAATAGTGCTGAGATAACACATTTCTGTATAGCATTTGACTTGGTACCACATGACATTTTGATTAAAAAAACAGAAAGATATAAAATTAACATGGCACAAATTAAATCAATTCAAAGGTAGCTAACGGATATGTCTCAAAATAATTGTAAAAGGGGAGTCAACATTGAATGAGTGTTTCTAGAGGGGGACCACATGGATCAGTTCTTGGCCCTATGCTATTTAATGCTTTTATCAATGACCTGGAAGAAAACAAAATCATCACGGATAGTTTGCAGGTGACAAAAATTTGGGGAATGGTAAATAATGAAGCGAACAGGTCACTGATACAGAGTGATCTGGACTGCTTGATAAATGGGCCACAAGCACACAATATGCATTTTTAATACAGCTAAATATATACATATGCATCTAGGAATAAAGAACACAGGGCATGCTTATAGGATGGGGATCTCTATCTAATTACCTGAGCATGAGCTCCCAGTGAGATGCTGTGGCCAAAAGGGCTAATGCAACCCTGAGATGCATAAACAGGGGAATCTTGAGTAGGAATAAAGGCTATTTTACCACTGTATTTGGCTTTGACCGCTCCTGGAATACTTTTTCTGGTTCTGGTGCTCACAAATCAAGAAGAATGTTTATAGATTGGAAAGAGTTCAGAAAAGAGCCATGAAAATGAAAACGATTAAAGGATTAAAAAACATCCCTTTCAGTAATAGAGCTCCTTTTGTCTATGTAGCTTAACAAAGAGAAGATTAAGGGGTGACTTGATTACAGTCTATAAGTAGCTATGTGGGGAACAAATATTTAATATTGGGTTCTTCAATTTAGCAGAGAAATGTATATGATCCAATGACTGCAAGTTAAAGAAAGACAAATTCAAACTGGAAGTAAAACGTACCTCCACTCCCAACAGTGAGAGTAATTAATCATTGGAACAACTTACCAAGGGCCCTGGTGAAGTCTCCATCATTGACAATTTTTAACCAAGATTGGATGTTTTTTCTAAAAAGATATGTTTTGGGACTTACTGGGGAAATGTACGTCCTGTGTTATACAGAAAGTCAGACTAGATCAGGGGTAGGGAACCTATGGCACGCGTGCTGAAGGCGGCACGCGAGCTGATTTTCAGTGGCACTCACACTGCCCGGGTCCTGGCCACCGGTCGAGGAGGCTCTGCATTTTAATTTAATTTTAAATGAAGCTTCTTAAACATTTTAAAAACCTTATTTACTTTACATACAACAATAATTTAGAATATATATTAAAGACTTATAGAAAGAGACCTTCTAAAAAACATTAAAAGGTATTATTGGCATGCGAAACCTTAAATTAGAGTGAATAAATGAAGACTCGGCACACCACTTCTGAAATGTTGCAGACCCCTAGACTAGATGATAACACTGGTCCCTTTTGGCTTGGAATCTATGACTCATTTTACAAGTGACTAGCTTACTAAAAAGCCACTATCTCTATGGAAGAGTTTTACATCCCAGTCATGAACAACTTAAAAGATTTCTCATCCACCATGAAGGAAGAAACAAAGTTTTGGATACATTTGCTTGCTTCTGACAAAGTTGCAAAGGTGAAAAGCAATATAAAGGAAGGTGCTACATATATTCAAGGGGAATGGAATAATTATCTGCTGAACTGAAACTGTACGAAAAAAATCTTCAAAAAATCTAGCCTAAATTTTTGTTCTGCAATCACTCAAACTCTGACAGAAAACTTATTTGAAAAGTAAGAAGAAAGATGCTTATAAGCAGCCTAATCTGCAAAATAACTTTCAAGCTGATAGAAATAGTTAGGAACACTATCGTTTTACATCTGGTGCTACCACGTGTGGCAGAGGAAGCATTTAAATATCAGCTTGAAGAAACCATGATTTGGAACAAAACAGCCAAAGTTTGAGAAAAATCAGCTATTTGAGTATAGAACTTTATGGAGCAAGAGGATCCGCCACCCAATCCAGCAACGAGACAAAGATAAGGAAAAGAATGAAGTTGTCCCAACAACCACTGCAGTCAACCAGTGTTGTATCCACAGAAGAATGATCCTGGGCGTAACCACACCACAAATTTGAGAACGAATTCTAGTGGACAAACTGGTAATGGTGAGTAATTCACAACCCAGTCTAAACCTGAGAAACACTTGCCTGATAAGTGGTACTTCAATATGATGGAACTATCCATACCTTCAGCTGACTCTTGTGATTACAAAAATGAAGGTGGTGGGGGAAGAAGAGGGCAAAAGGAGAAACCATTCAGTTACCTTACTGATTATATGACAGCATGTTTATTCCGTGACTCCTGCAGTTGAACAAGTTAAAGGTAAGGAAGGCAGAAGAACGTATAATTATGAAATGTGTGCAAATGCATTTGTTTAATGTAAACAAAAACAACAAGGAGTCTGGTAGCACCTTAAAGACTAACAGATTTATTTGGGCATAAGCTTTCGTGAGTAAAAACCTCATTTCTTCGGATGCATCCGAAGAAG